TTATTCGTTTGTTCGTTCATTCATTTCATTTATTTTTTGCAGCAATTTTACGCCCTGCTGACCGGAATTCCAGTAGCTATATTTATCACAGCTGTGAATGTCTTCATTGGTGAGAAAACATGTTTTATGTTTTAAATTTAATTTCTGGTGTATTTTTGGATCACTGGACAAGCTGTGGTTTATATGATACCTAGGTGAGGCAGAGCTCGTTGAAACTCCTGAAGACTATGAACCTGAGTACTGGGAGTATTACAAGGTGGGCAGCTTTTTTATAATTTTGTATAACAATTTTTTCTTTTTTTTTTGTAATTACTGTCAATTGGTAAAACATATGTATTTCATCCTTTTGATGATGCATTATACAGGCTTCTGAGTTTATTTACAACTTTCAACAAATTTTAAAGTGCTGTGCTGCACACACAAAGAGTAGGGCCGGGCGATATGGCAGCACGACGGCTCAGTGGTTAGCACGTATGCCTCACAGCAAGAAGGTCCTGGGTTCGATCCCCGGTTTGGACCTGGGATCTTTCTGTGCGGAGTTTGCATGTTCTCCTCGTGCTTGTGTGGGTTTTCTCCAGGTACTCCGGTTTCCCCCACAACACAAAACATGTACAACAGGCTGCCTTCAGGCCCAGGCCTCCCTTGAAAAAGAGATCTGAGATCTCAATGGGACTTGCCTGGTAAAATAACGGTAAATAAATATGGCTGAAAAATGTATTACAATATAAGCATTTCATATCAGTCGATATCAATGATTAGTTTTTGGTTTACTTATTTGAAATAAGGACCAGGAGCAGTGTTACCAGATGGGAACTGTTGAAGTATCGTACAATCAGTTTCAAATAATCATATTTTGAGGAAAATGATTGTACACACCCATTTTGCATTCTAAAATGGCCCAGAATTACAAATACAGTGGGGAAAATAAGTATTTAGTCAGTCACCAATTGTGCAAGTTCTCCCACTTAAAAAGATGAGAGAGGCCTGTAATTGACATCATAGGTAGACCTCAACTATGAGAGACAAAATGTGAAAAAAAATTGAGAAAATCATTTTGTCTGACTTTTAAAGAATTTTTTTGCAAATAATGGTGGAAAATAAGTATTTGGTCACCTACAAACAATCAAGATTTCTGGCTGTCACAGACCTGTAACTTCTTTTTAAGAGGCTCCTCTTTCCCCCACTCATTACCTGTATTAATGGCACCTGTTTGAAGTGGTTAACAGTATAAAAGACACCTGCCCACAACCTCAAACAGTCACACTCCAAACT